GATAATATTATGCAAGTGTTAAACAATGTTTTTATAGTTATGCTCTTCGCATCGGCAAATTATTTGTTTTCCATTTTTCAAACTTTCTACATTTCTCCAAGAAGACTTTATTCAAAGTGAAATTCGACTGCATCAACGAAGCATTACGATTTCCAGAGGCTTTCCTGGACCAGCCAATAGGAACTCCAATTTCAAGGTTATGTAACGAGGAAGGGGGCACGCCCACAAGGGGGAGGCTAGAACTGAATTACGCAAAGCAAAGTGAGGTCAGACACAATACAATATTTCTTCCATGATTTAACGTCATCAGCAAATCCAGAGGCAATCCCCTGGAAACCATCATCTTGACCATCTCCCACCCCCGTTTCCCCCCGGAGATTGAGGGTTAGCTTGGGGGCGGTTCGGAGGCTCACTTTTCATAGTCCGATTAAATTTATTAGGACAGAAACCCTATCCTTGGCTACGGTCTCAAACATCTAACTATTAAAGACAAGACATACGATGTAATGCAATACCCTGTATAAACGTGCAGCAGTGCCGTGCGCGTCTGCTGACATTGTGCCCAATACACCTCTAACAAGATTGCAAAGAGTCAATGCATGCTAGCCTATCTCGTTTTGCAAGTAATCGCGTTAGTCCATTCGAAAAACAAACTGGAACTCTTAAATGGATTTCATCATTTAATTGGTAACTTACACGGATGCGTCTTTCCCCCCAAATTCACCCCTTACTTGAAGCCATTAACCTGCTCCTGCGAGAGCCAACTTGCGATATTAAATTCAGACATTTATAACAGAAAAGGGGTCATTAGGTACTAAGTACTTATGTAGGACAGATGAGACTTACGCAAAGGAATGATTTATGTGTTTACAATGAGTGTCGTTTCATGATGTCGTCGCAGCTGTGTTTGGTATAGTTATTCCCTGTTTCAGAGATTTACGAACTTGTAAGTTTTGCCCATGCAGTTCCGCCTGATTTGGACTAACTGTAAGATAAAATGTAAATCCGCAACGTCAGATCAAGCATTGTAAGGGAGCTTGGCACTTTACTATGTTAAATCATTGTAAAAAAAAAAAAAATCTCCCGATCAAAAATTGATTTCTAAAACTGGTAAAAATTTTAAACGATAATAAACTGGGACGTTAAAAAAAAATAGAACTTCCTGACAAAAGTACACGTGTAGACTTCAGCTACGGGTAAACGCTCAGACCACGTGACGCACGTGGCAAGTCACGTGACGTCTTGAAGTTAAACAGTCGGTTGCGTTTTGGTGTAATTACCCAGTTTGGAATATTTACCTAACCCAGAGCTCCCATTTATTATGCACTGTCGGCGGCAACAATTATTGTGTCCAGAGCACGCAAGCCTATCGCTCCTTGTACATCCCCTCTCCATCAAACTCGCTTGGTCGAGAAGACTAATTAATCCTCGAGATCTATACACTTCTTTGTTTATAATGGAACCCAACCGCAAGTAGTCAAGTGCGTGTGTCCACATCAATTCAATTATATTAAAAAAAATGATGTTGAACAAAAAATATCAAGCTAACAGGGAGTTTTAATAACCGACGCGGCATTTACGCGCGGAAGGGATTACTGGGGTGCTCTCAGCGAAAGGAAACGCGTCTACGGTTTTGAGTGACTTGAGAGGAAGCTTTCAAAAATGTCCAGGCCTCGGTTTTAATAACTTAAAACAGATGAAGTCCCATAAAGAGGACAGGGACCGGAAAAGACGTCTAGTTGCATAATAAAAAGGTTTACCTTGCAGCAACTTCATAGTGCCCAAAGCTGTACTTTTATAATCTCAAAAGTACAACAAAAAAAATCCCAGGTTGTGACGTTTTGTTTGTCATTATTAATACCAGTAAAGGTCCATGCCTTTTTTTTCGTGTGATGCATTGTCACTTCTAATTTAATCGCTGTGTAAAAGAATGAACCTTTCATAAAAGATCCTTTCAATATTTTGATATCTTATCTTGAATTTGGTACAGTATCTTAATTATGCATGTTGCCTTTTTAAAAACATTTGTTCGACTGAATTTGAGACAAGTTATTAAAAAAAAAATGAATGTTTTCAAAAACACTCATGGCATTTCATTGTCACAGTGACAAAATTGCATGCACCACGGTTATTTTCAACTATTTACTTTACGTTTATCCCTCATTTATTTCGATGTTTGTCTCGTCATTTTGTCTTGATTCGTCAAGATGTTATACCGCGTTAATCAGCAACTTCGAATTTAGAGCTAAAATAGTTATTAATGGATATTTGTTTTTGCTTTTCACTTAGTCAGGGGCCTTCCTGATCGTTTTGACCGGTGTCCTACATTAATTTATTTAGCAAAAACCCAAACGGAATTTACTCCTAAACTTGAGAACCTTTTGTTGAAAACACTAAACTCCAAATCTGGAAGTTGCTTCCGAGCATTTTCCGATCCCATCACCAATAAAACTCTTTTCACGATTCCTTCTTCCTTGAAAACCGCCAAGAACAAAAAAAACACGAATGTCAGCAGGAGAATTTACAGTCAGCAATGTTTAGAGTCTCAAAATATCTATTTCGTCTGTTTGTTCACGCTGAGACTAATGAAGCAGCATTGATAGACACACCAATCCGAACATCACGCTCCAACACACATATATATGTATATATATATATCCATAAATATCTAACGATATCCAATTAATGCCAATCGCTTATATAGTCTGGTTGTGGATTACATTACAAGGACGTCTGAGAGTTTTATTTTAAAGGCGTTTGGCTTGCATTTTGTTCGTTTCCAATAAAAACACCACTCAAAATCCAAAGAAGAATGTTCGAAACCAAACTTGTTCGAGTTAAGGCTCAGTGGATATAATTACACTTTGCGAGAAAACAGTGAAAAGTCATGCACAATGCACAACCTTTTGACAACGAAACACGATTTTGTCAACAGCAGTCTCTGTTTCCAAAAATCAGTCAACTGACTTATCGTTGGAAATGTATGTTGGAACATACAGTTCTTGATTTCCTCTAATGACAGCAAGCCAGACGGAATAATTTCACAGGCTGTTTAGTACCAGTACCATCTTTAATCCAAAGTAAGATTTTTGATAACAATTCGGTGGGTTATTTTTGGTATAGGCCTAAATGCAAAATGACCCTGATGCCTTTAAAATATCAGCGTGCCAGAACTTCCGCTCCGATAAACGACAGTCTTAATTAAGGAGGGTAACGGGCACTTTTATTAGTACTGTACACCTAGGTGACCCAATCGATGTTAAAGAGACGGGATCCGCTCATAAGTCCGACGCCTCATAGGTCCGACACCTCATAGCTCCGACACCTCATAGCTCCGACGCCTCATAGCTCCGACGCCTCGTAGGTCCGACAATTAAACGCCTCGTTTTTCCGACGTCGGACTTATGAGGCGTCGGACTTATGAGGCGTCGGACCTATGAGGCGGGATAAATAAATGTTATGATAAGTCCGACGCCTTATAAGTCCGAAATTTCGGACTTATGAGGCGTCGGACCTATGAGGCGTCGGACTTATGATACGGCCCCAAAGAGACACTTGAAAAAGTAAGCACCTAGCATAAGTTCGTTGCTCACAGTGCCAATATAATGATCATCAGTTCGATGAAATTTGAAACAATATCAACCACAGATTGCTTGACAGATATTTTAACAACCAAATTCACTCGAAAATATACTGCAGTCAGATCATCTGACTGGAAAAAAATCTAGTGGTCAATTCTTTTTTCCTGGGTGAAACTGAAACTACTCAAGATACTACATTTCTAGCCACGATTCTTTATTGTGTACGCTGTTTTGATGGAAATCTATTTGAAATCTAACACTAGTAGCCCCTGGATTTCTACTCGGTTCTCAAGAACTGAGGACGTCGGCGTGAATGTTTTCTTTCACACGGCGATAAGAAACATTGCCAGTAATCTTTCCGATTCAAGTCAATAAAATACTTTTTTTAATTCTTCGATAAAATTTTATTTCAACAGTGTACTGGGATGAAGGCAAATGAAGTCATATCGATTGGTTATTTTTTTGTAGGACATCTTGACATCAATATTCTAATTCGAAACGAAAGAGATGACGCAATCTTCATCAACTAGCCTTAAACCTTGAGAAAATCAATACATCAGTTTCTCTTCAAACATTTTGCACGCCGCGTAATTTAACAACGAAAACAGAAGCGAACGAAGCAATGACCGGTACAAAATTAAGAAAACGGATTTTAAAGAGCAACCTGTTTCAACTAATTCAATTGTGTAATGGAATATCAGGATTATAATTTAGGCTATCGTTTTAATTTGATACAAAACCCAAAATCTTCATACTGCAGCAATTATTATGCGAAAGTCCAGCGTCTTTTTTGATGGAATAAAACATCGGAAAAAAATAATACAATTGCGGGAAAACAATATTCGTCGTCAAAAGTTTCTTGTCCCTTAATAGCCCCGTAGGAAAAACACATGTCAAAGAATCCTGTGTACCAACTATACTGAGCTTGATTGGTGACACACATTAAATTTTGAAGACAAAAATTATGAAATGAAATCCTAATGCCGCATGTCTAAGAAATTAATCAGGCAGAAATGAGTTCTTACCGTGGTACGTACACGCAAGCATGCGGTTCACACTGACAGCATCAATTCTGTGTTTGCTCGTCTCTAGTTCCGTCCGATTCTTTACTCTACACTGTTCAGACGCACGCCTCGCGCCTGGCTTTATATCAAGCCGGTAGCTAAAGAATGTGTCGTCACGCCGCCCGCCAATCGCTTCATTATGTCGCAATGGCTTCAGCCGATGATGACATTAAATGGCCTTAAAGCGACCGGAACGACAGCAACACGATACGAGAAAGTAACTATCGGATTAATTTATGTTTAGTTTTGAGCTTACTTTGCGCCTACCACTTAGATGAGTAGGCTATACCTCAGCTTTTAGTTTCTCGGCACGAGTTCACACAAATGTTACCAATTGTCATTACTTTAATCTCACCTTTAGTGATTGTCCCAATGAAATGTTACGGTCCGCAGTGCTCCGATTCGTCGACTGAGTATAGGATTAACACGCATTTATTATACCACTGGCAACTCTTTCTGAGAACATCGGCAAAGCGCTTGCACCCCCGCAGATAAACTACTGTTATTATGCCACTCAGAGCTATCGGTTTTTTCTTTAAAGACCGATTTGCCAGAGCCCGGAGATGACGTAAGGAGCGGAGCTCTAGAGCCCAGAACCCCAGGTTGATATTGGCGCGGGCCAGGTATGTGACGTATGCCTTGTTCCGGTGACACGAGGTGTCCCACCACCAATGGCCGTGTGACGCCAGAGAGTCACACTTATCCCTCCGGCAACCCATCGATTGGGTTATATTGTCAGTTCATTAGTGTCAATAACACTGTTTCCCGCAAGCCACTGCGCCATATATCGTTAGTTTTTGTAAAACTCTTTGCGGCTTAATTACTATGAGGCGGTCTCTCACAGTGGAGTACCAGGGGCTGTGGATTGACATGTCACTTCTTATCAACGGTTACCAGTAGCCAGGCAATTAAGATTGATCTGCGTGCACGAAGCCTACTTGTTCAATTTTAAAATATACCTGCAAAAGGTTCTCACTGCTAATTGTTGCCCCTTGAAGACAAGTGCCAAGACCGTGATGATTTGTTTAGTGGGTATTATAAAATCTGAATTGTGAAAGCCTTTTTTTCTCTCATGATGAAAAAACAAAAAGCACATCGCATAAAATTGCTACTATCTCATATGTTAGGGGGAAATTAGTTTTACTTTTTCCAAAGTTAAACCCGAGAAGAATTTCACATTGTGTTTTGTTTGGTGCCGTAATAGTTACTTATAGATACAGGATGATCAAGTTGATCGTATTGAGAGAGCATTGTTTGTTTTAAACTTTCCTGAAAAAAAGACCCACATGCTTCTTGTCAAGTAACCTAAATGCCGTCTTTGAAAAATAAAGATAAAAGGTCTGACATCTTGGAAGTATTATTTGAAAATTATTTTAAAACAAGCATCTTTGTATTCTTCCCTGCTGTATCATCCACACTGGCATCCGGAGGAATAATTGAGGAACTCAGGCACAAAAATTACAAATTGTCCAAATTGTTGCTACAGAGCTGCTTCCAATCTGGCATTGGATATCGCCACAATAGTGTGTACATCCACAGGAACATTTTCTTGGTCATCCATGAAAACCCTCTCTCGTGCAACACTATGTTTAAGCAATACGATCAATTTTACAAACATTCTCAAACTATCTGTCATATGGAAGAAAAAGGTATTGAGAGTCCACTTCTTTTTTTTTTCCAGATCACATGACATCAAAAAGAGACTTGCACAATTGAGCACTCCACCCCAAATGAGATGCTCTCTCAGCAGGAAATAATCCCCCAACTACCGGTCCATATATTCCAGAAGAGATGCCATCAACCTGCCCGGATGGTCTCCAATGGGACAGCAAGTCAATAATATTTCATTTCCCAGATAATATGACCGGGTTTTTTTCCCTCTCCCGGCAGTCGTGTTATTACTACTCGGCGTTCGTGATCGCACGTCGTGTTCCCAACTCCCTAGGCGCAGCCTGGCAAATTTAATAATAAAGGGACAATGTTCCGGCCGCGTTGATATTAAAAACACTCCATCAATACCACAAATCTATTTGCCGACCCATTAGAAGTACTTACAGAGAGACCCGGTGTGCAGGACAGTCCGCTAATTGTTGATCCACTCTTCGAGGAAACAGGTGTGGCCGGAGAGTTATGGAGCAAAATCATAAAAGTATAAAGTTGCCATGAAAGGTACTCACGCATGACGCAATAGAAACTTGTCGATGCTTCCGTAAGATGAAAGCGAGGGGTCAGATACATCTTTGGTACTAAAATTGTCTCAAAAAGAACTCTTTTAAGGGACAGTGTTTAAGAGTACTAGATGGTTTCTTGGTAATGTTCCTTTAGTGGTGCCGTGCTTATGTTTATCTACTAACACCACGAGTCGAGTCCACAATGATGCTGGAGTGCTTTGCACGGTTGGTTCAAAGAGAGGCAGCTCATAATTTTCTGTCACACAACAGCGTAGCAACTTACGACGAAACGAAGCATATCGAAGAGTTTGCCGGTACAGCCTCGTTATGGTTTAAATATGGCGATTAAATGCAGTGAACAACAAGGGAAAGGTCAGTGCAGCAAGACAAAGACACCCTAGAGGGCGCATTCTCCAGTGGGCCGTATTTAGGTTGTGTTGCGTCACTATTATGCAGGGGACAGGTCTGAGGCGCCATTTTTTTGGTCCAAGAACGGGAAACATTCTCTTATGAAATGCTACGGGTTTTTTTTCAATCGTATTGTCGACGAAAGAAGCCACAAATTAGAGAACCTGCGCGAAAGTCCCATACGTTAGGTGCTGACGTGACTGTAAATGATGCAAAAAGGATGTTGTTGGAACTCTCTGTAGTGCTTTGGTACTGCAATATAGGGTGTATTGTGGCACTACATAATATAATGCATAATATAGGGTACATGTATATAGTGGTACTGCACACAGCTGTGGTACATGTACTACAATATAGATTCCTGAAATAAGAACATTACACAGTCAGACAGGCTCTTTTAATTGAAACGCGCCTTGAGATACCAACACCCATACACACCTTCCCCCCCCCCCCCAACAGCCAACATAAAAAGCCGTAGATCGGTGGTTTTTGCTGGAAAACGTGTAACGACAAACTCCATTTAATTGCAACATTATCCGCACTTGATCGACCCCTGGCATCATATGAGCTGTCTTCTTTGATTGGGCAATTAATGCGATGGGAGATGGATCGGTCTTAAATCGACCTATCAACGACCGTGTCCGTTCAACAAGTTCGAGTGCACTATTTTGTTGTTTTGCATGAGGCGAATGTAAAGGTGATTTCATGTACAATCAGTAGGTGATTATAATTATACGGTGACTGATAATAGGAAGCGTGAAACCTACGGTACCACCATAATCAGGCATTAATCATTGCGACAGATCTACGCAAAGAACTGGAAAGCAACAGTAAAGATAAATCACAATCTCCCAACGCTAAAAGGTCGTCTTAAAATGAGGTTTTGATAATTTCACTATAACTTTACTTATTAGCCTTTTTTTTAGATAAAGTATCATTAGGCCTACCTTATTTGGAATGGTTTCATTGGTTGCAGTCACCATGAGTATTTGCAATGCTAGTTCGCAGAGTTTGCTGTAATGTTTTAACCAAGAGACATATGACTGCATGAGAAATCATGTGAGATTAAATAAATGAAACATCCATTGTTACCCTATCGTGTCCCAGTGTAAATAGGCCTACACAATTAACCTTGTGGTATACATGTTCGCTGCAAAGGTATCGTCGGCATGTTTTTACACCTAACTTGCAACAAAACGTGAGAACATGCACACCACGTCCATCGAGATGATAAACTATTCATGAATTCCCTTCACCGCCTCGGCCAATACTATGATTTAATTATGCGATGACGACATCAATTTCTGTTTTGCGTGAACACTCACGGAAGTTGAACACTTGCCGAAGAGTGGGGCTTTTTGTTTTACCAGTGATGTGAACACAGGTGCCTTTTGGTTGAAGATTAACCAACAATACTGAGTAACAGTAGAGTTCTTAGTTCATAAAGTAAGACAAGAAATCGAAATTCTGTGCTTTCCCAGTACTTGTTAGTCCAAATCCCCACTTTTTCGATTCTGGATACTCGCGCAACCTAGGCCACTCCAGTACGAGAGGATATCCACTATAATAAATGAAAATCAATTACAGAATTGCAGGATTAAAGACTGCGGGTTGACATTTATTTTGTATTTCATGTGTTAATTTTAGGATTCAGTGGGTTTTGGGGTTGTTTGGGTTTTTTGGGGGGTGGTATTTGAACTAAGGTTTTGCTGTTTTAGTTTTAATTTGATATTTGGCCCTTTTGTTTTAAGTTTAAGTTAGCATTTTGGTTTGGTCTATAATAGCTATAGTTCAATCCTTGTTTGTTTGTTTTTTCGCTTTTAATTAGTTAAGCCTCCTAAGTAGTTTTGTAAGACTTGAACTTGTATTGCAAATGATTTGTTGGGTTTTTAAAATATTTTTTGTTTAAACCAAAGCATTTGGTGTCTACTTTCTCTCTTATTTTAGTTCCTTGCGACTTCTCCCTCCAAAGAGCCTGAGTTTAGTTAAGTTTAATCCCCACATAGTGTTTAATTGGTGCGAGTGTCCCCCTGTAGTGTGCTATTGTCCAGGTTACACATACACCTTAAAAAGTGGTCAGTGGTTGCTTATTCCCTCTCCTATTATTTCGTCAAAATATCAACTGCCTCAATAATTTGCCGAATTCTCCCCAACATTTAGTAGTATTTGTATTCTTCTCGAAATAGCCAAGCTCTGGGGTAACGTCATGCCAAATGCCGTGTATACCAATCAATAGCTTTTTGTTTACATTGTGTGTCTTTGAGAAATAGAAAGGTACGTTCCGACTGTTAATAATATATGATTCACGTATCAGCCTTATTACTCTGCAGACAGTCATGTACTGATGAGCTACACGTAATATGCCTTGCCCTTTCTGCCAGAAGAGCAATATAGAAACACGTACAAAGAGAAATGACCTTGGCAAGCCCATTCATGCCCGCAGTCAATATGTCTTTTCTCCAATGAGGCTAATTCATCAGCTTTTTAGAGTAAAGGTGAATTATAATGCAACAGTTCTACCGTTCTCTCTCAATTGTTCACAAAAGCACAAGCTCTGCTCTGAGTCACAGACTGAGTGTCCTGATATAATATTAATTGCATGTCCAAATCTTTAATTCAACCATACTTCTCCTACATCTGACGGCAAATCTTTTACTTCATTGGAGTCAAATGTACAAATTGATATGGGACTATGATAACCACTACGTTTTTTAACCAATACTCGTCCCGTAAAACAAAGGCCAGTCTTACTTAATAATGAGCATTTTTTTAAGCAGGTGTATTTAGCTTCGATTGATTCGATTGTTGGAATGCGCAATTGAACGCAAAATTCAAATTAACACTGTCGCTAAAGCAGCAGAACAAGTCAGAGCCGACAAGAATCAACGTCGACCAAGATGACTTCACACAGGGGACACAGAAAGTCA